AGTATAGTTCTATATATGTTAATGTATAGAAATTATGCTAGCATTAATCTTAAAGCGATTCGATGGCCCATGAGACGAAAGAAATATCAAAGGGTGGACCCACCAGTAGAAGACATGGGAACCCAAACACCCGACTTGATGAATTAGACCTAAAACCAACTGTTATAAGGATGAGTATGCGGCATGAGCAGAGTGGCTCACCCAGTCACATGACAAACTTAACATTTCGATGCAATCAAGCCCGAAGGAGGGACCAATCCCTTAGATCTTATGACCGCACCGGGGACGATCGACAACCTTCTCAAAAGATCTCTTTGTCTAAGGGCATACAACATGTTGTATTATGACGATTCACCCTCAATCTGATAGCCTTGCTTCTCTTTGCCCATTGGACTTCTTCGACGAGAGTTAAGGGTCAACAACCATTGTACATACCGATTGACAAGACTTAGATGATCAATTCTATTGACTCCCGACTAGTAGACGACAGACAAATTGGTAGTTTCTACAGACCTAGCTTTTCGATAGCATAATTCAAGCCTCTTGCTCCCTAATTATACAAGACTTCAATAACACAACCGATCGACCAACATCATAAATCAAACTCAGTTGGTTGTCAAAGCTTGGCAGATCCCACCAAGCCCAACCCGCTCGAGAGCAACAGAACCCTTGACCCATGAGACTGAAATCCCTAGAAGAACCCATACAATTCCCACTTGAGTAGACGCATAAATGTAAACTCACATATTGCATCCTCTTTGTCTATAAACAAGAGATCTTTTCATGAACTAAATGATACACAATTCCCTTATTCTAATTCATTATTTTGCACTCCCTCCCTCCCTACCTCCTATTTTTAATCCATTTCTTGAGTGCGATTCACAAAACCTTCAAATTCAACAATCTACTCCGTTCCCATGCTAATGGAGAGAACTTTTGTTGGGTACAATTCCTTCATTTTGTGTATTTGGCCAAACACAATATTCCATAACAATACTACTTAATATTAATTACAAATATTTTATAAAACTTTTAAGAACAAATATTAATTAGTCTTCACCAACAAACAATCTCAACCATTCATTTAATAACAAGAATTGCATCCCTTAATCTTAAAACGCAGCACATATTTTCAATATTCTTTATTTATAAAACACATAAACTTAATTATTTTCTATTTTAACTTAAGCAATTTCAGTACTATATTAAATAACTACTGAATAACCAACTAAGTAATATCACATTAATTCAAAGCAATACACATTCACAAATCACCACTAATCCACTTCATCGGGCATGAATAGACATAAAAATCAATGCATTTTGGAATTAGAAACTTCTATAATCATATTAGGATCATCCAAACTTCAATAAATTTTTTTTTTTAGCACAACACTTAACAACATCGATGGTGATATGATTGGAGAGCCGAAATGATCAAGTACTTGAAGTATGATAAAAATTTTTGGGACACTAATTAGAGAATTTATTGTCATCAAAATAGTATATGTTTATGCTCAAATCACACGTCAGGGATTCATACACCATCGTTGCCTAACTACTGTTATTAATCAGTTGCTGCTACCCAGCCACTTTTGCTCAGCCATTGTTATTAGTCTATCCCTACCTGGCCGTCATTATCTATCCCCTGCTGCTTAATCATCAATATCTA